TTAGGAAAAGTTAATAATACATAAGGCACATTAAATATCATAATTTCAGATGGGTGTTTTAGGATAAGGTTAGTAAGTTTCTAGTAATAAGCTTGAGACCATTTAGTAGAACTTGTAAAAATAGAAGAAAAGCAGAGATTCAGCAAAATGAGTCTAGGTAGATGTCTTATTGTAAGTTTGTGTGCCCCCAAAATACTTACAAAAATCCTATTTCAGAAAAATTAAGTATAGTATTAGCATTTCTTTTAGAGTTCTGTCAGTAACTAAGTTGGTTCTTTCCTAATAAATTTTCAATTATTTATCTAAAATGGCCATGCAAAGGCAAATGAAAAAATGATTTATGTTTTAGAAATTGTTCTTCCTATCCTAAAGAATACACCCAAGCGTTTCAAGGCAGTTTACCAGGCTTTTTGTGTAAGTATAATAAAATGAGTAAGTGCACAGAAGTCTCAGTACTACAAACAACATGAATTGGGATTTTGTACAAAAGTTCAAATCGAAACTCTTATCAGTCTACTGGTAACACATAAATTTGCTCCTTTCTTTATTTCTATAACTTTAGAATTCCATTAATCCAGATACCATATAGCAAAATGGTAACTGTGCTATGCCTCAAGTACAATGGGTACTTAATAAATACTTGTCTGATGTATCAAAACGTTTGCCTTGATCCTGTCCTATAACAGTCTGACTAGCTCATGTAGTCATTTACCAGGACCCTGGAAAAGCAGCAGCTTTCAACAACACATTTAACACCTTGCTCACTGGTCATCTACCCCTCGGTCTCTATTTGTGCTAAGAAAGGAAGCATAGGGACCCTAAGAAAATCAGGCCTAGAGAATTGAGAATGTTCTGAGATGCAAGGAGAGCTCTTAAAAGTTCTTGATTTTCAGGTAAAATGCTCAGTGTTGTCAGCTCTTTGAGGCTTCCCTGAAGAACTTGGAAGAAAAACTGCCCTCTTTGAATTACCTCTGAGATCATTAAATGAATTAGAGTAGAAAAACACAAAGTCACCTTAAAGCCTACAAGCAGACAATGCTTGGATGGGTATTGTCAGTGGCAGTGAAAACTCAAGCCAAGTTTCCAGTGTCAGTAACAAGGCAATCTTGAAGGTAGCTCCCAAGGCAATACACCCCTCTGCATTGCTTCAGGCCCTGGGGAGCCATTTTTCCTGTTTCTGTATTAATTCTACTTATCTTACCTGATGCTGTAGCCAATGCATACATCTAACTCCTGAATTCTTATTCACCCTCAGTTTCCCACTTGTGTATGCCTAGAGAGGGAAGAATTAGCTGGCCATACAGGTACAGGTTTTACTTACATCTGTAAGTTGGCATACATATTCATACACTGGTCTTATGAGCTTGGTTTCTGTGAGTCCACCCAGAGAGATGGATGTGCTCTCCATTTGCTAATGAAATCGGTTTCTGAGCCTGCAATGCTGCAAATCAAACTCTGGACTGTAGTACATTCTCCCAAGTAATGCAACCTGCTGAGGCCTTTTGGGAAGCAGCCAAATGACTCCCAAGACAACATCTCTCTCCATTGATGAGAGGCCAAGTGAACTATTTCCCTGATTTTTAAATTTCTACACTTAGAATTAATATTACAGTTTTTACTTAAGAAAACCAGTCCAAATACAGTAAAAACCAATGACTTCATGCTCTGCTTGAGCATCTAATAAACATGCTAGCTAGAAAAAGAAAAGATTTTTTTTTTCAAGAGCTTCACTTAAAACAAAGTGGGGGAGGGGAGCTATTATAGATTAAAAGAAATTTAGATATACCTACCAAATGCAACGGGTGATGCCTTGCTTAGGCCCCGTTGCAAACAAACTGTAGTAGGTAGAATAACAGCCCCCGAAAGATGTCCACGTCCTAATCCCCAAAACCTGTGAATATGTTACTTTACATGGGCAAAGAGACTTTCCTGGTGTCATTAAGTTAAGGACCTTGACGTGGGGATTAGCCTGGGTTATCAGGTGGATCCAATATAATCACAAGGGTCCTTAAAAGCACAGAACCTTTCCTGGCTGGGGTCAGAGGGAGATATGACCATGAATGAAGGGTCAGAGATGCACCCGTCACTAGCTTTGAAGTTGCAAAGTGATCATGAGCCAAGGAATGCAGCCTCTAGAAGCTGGAAAAGGCGAGTAAACAGATTCTTTCTCAGAACATCCAGAAAGGAATGTAGCCCTGTGGGTACTTTGATTTAGCATATTGAGGCCTGTGAAAGACTTCTGACCTAGAGAACTAGTAAGATAATGAATTTGTGTTGTTTTAAGTCACTGAATTTGCAGTAACTTGTTACAGCAGCAACGGAACACTAATATACAAACTCAAAAAGATATTTTGAGACAAATCAAGAGATTGAAACTGTTTGGGTATTGGAATATTGAGGAATTAGTGTTAATTTTTGTTAGGGTATGATAATAGTATTTGGACTACCTTTTTAAACTTTTTCTTAGAGATACATACTGAAGTATTTACAGATGAAATGATACAATACTATCGGGGATTTGCTTTAAAAAATACTGCCCCTCCCACCCCCACCCCCCAAAGACGGTGGGGAAATATATGACATTAAATTAGAGGGGCTGACCCAGTGGCGCAGCCATTAAGTGCGCATGTTCTGCTTTGGCGGTCTGGGGTTCGCCAGTTCAGATCCCAGGTGCGCACATGGCATCATGTGGCAAACCATGCTGTGGCAGGCGTCCCACATATAAAGTAGAGGAAGATGTGCATGGATGTTAGCTCAGGGCCCGTCCTCTTCAGCAAAAGGAGGAGGATTGGCAGCAGTTAGCTCAGGGCTAATCTTCCTCAAAAAAAAAAAAATCAGAAAAATGTTAATTGTTGAAGCTAGGGGCTCATGATACTATTCTATTGTGTATACTTGAGAGTAAACTTAAAAAACTAAATAGCAAGCTTTTTAAAAAGTGAATTAACTTAGGAGAGAGCACTTGAACACTATAGATCAGCACTGTCCAAAAGAATTTTCTGTGATAATGGAAATGTTACATATCAGCACTGTTCAGTGCAGTAGCACTAGCCATGAGGCTGCTGAGCACTTGGAATATGGCTAGTGAAACTGAGGAATTTTATTTAATTTTAACTAAATTCAAATAGCCCCCTGTGGTTAATGGCTACAATATTACACAGCTCAGCTCTAGATATGGGAAGAGAGCCATGCTCCGTTACTCTTAGAATTGAGTTTATAAGCTCATGAATCAAGCGAAGCGAGTGCACATCTGTTATCTTTGTCTGCCCAGCCTCTCTTTACCTTTCTTACTAATAGTTGTACCCACTTCCCACCCCAAATCCAAACCATTCTTCACCACAGAGGTGGGGCATGAGATCCAGGCTATAGTAGAACTTCCTGGCCACAGTGATTGGTCCAAGAATGACCAGAGCCAGGACAATCAAACTCCTTGCTCAGAATTTTCTGTATTAGGAAGTGAGGTAGTGCCCTCGATCAGGAGTTGTGTGGATGGAACCCTAGAACTGTTGGCCATAATGTTCCCTTGACATACTGAGGTTCCTGAGGAAGTAAAACCAAAATTATGACAAAGATGGACAGTCTCGATTCTCCTCAAGTTCTTAGATTCAGTCAACGCTGGAGTCAATTCCATCCCTTCCTTCGTTATATAAGCCAATAAATTCCTCGTTTTTGCTTATGCTATTTTTGAGTTAAGTTCCATCAATTGCAACCTAAAGTCTTAATACAAAGTCCCATAAAAAATTTCCTGAGTGCCAGGATTATTAGCAATAGTAAGACTAATGGCACTGCTATAGACTGAATTGTATCCCCCTAAAATTCATGTCTAAGCCCTAACCCCATATCTGGCTGTATTAGAGATAGGACCTTTATGGAGGTAATTAAGGTTAAATGAGGTCAAAAAGGTGGCACCCTGATCTGACAGAATTGGTGCTCTTATAAGGGTAAGAACTGGGGCCAGCCCCGTGGCCAAGTGGTTAAGTTCACGCACCCCACTTCGGCAGCCCAGAGTTTCGCCAGTTCAGATCCTGGGCACGGACATGGCACTGCTCGTCTAGGCCACACTGAGGCGGCAACCTACATGCCACAACTAGAAGGACCCACAACTAAAATATACAGCTAGGTACGGGGGGATTTGGGGAGAAAAAGCAGGAAAAAAAAAAGATTGGCAACAGTTGTTAGCTCAAGTGCTAATCTTTTTTTTTTTTTTTGAGAACGATTAGCCCTGAGCTAACACCTGCTGCCAATCTTCCTCTTTTTGCTGAGGACAACTGGCCCTGAGCTAACATCCGTGCCCACCTTCCTCTACTTTATATGTGGGACACCTGCGACAGCATGGCTTGCCAAGCAGTGCCATGTCGGTACCCAGGATCCGAACCAGTGAACCCCAGGCCACTGAAGCGGAGCATGTGAACTTAACCGCTGCACCACCGGGCCAGCCCCTCAAGTGCCAATCTTAAAAAAAAAAAAAAAAAAAAGAGTAAGAACCAACAGAGCTCTCTCGAAGCCATGTGAGGACACAGTGAGAAGGCAGCTATCTGCAACCCAGGAAAAGTCCTCACCGGAACCTGACCGTGATGGCACCCTGATCTTGGACATCAGCCTCCAGAACTGTGAGAAAATAAATTTCTGTTGTCTAAGCCCCCTAGTCTAGGATATTTTGTTATGGCAACCCAAGCTGACTAATACAGACACCCAGTATAACTGCCCTAGTGCCATTACTACCAATTCCTCTATTTAGGGTGAAGTAGAACTTAACAAAAATAGCGACATACTGATCTTTTATTATTCCGTTCCCATTCTTGATTTCAGCTTAGACTGGAGTAGCTTTTCAAGTGGGTTTACTTTTTTAAATAACAAAAAGATCAGCCTAGCTATCTTAAATCTCATTATCAATTCAAGAGCATTACAATACAGAAAACAGTTTTTAGTGAGATTAAGTAACTAGAATTATATTACCAGTAATGAGGGTAAAAGCTGATAAATCACATAGTCAAATTCAAGTGTTAATCTTTCTAATTTTTCATACTTTATTCCTTGTATCAGTAGGTTAAGAAAATAAAATTTTCCTAAGTACTGATTTATAGATAATGTTTATAAGTGGCACACAAGACATTGTTTCACAGAGTAATATTCAGTGACCCCTTTGAATGCAATTTTAATCCTTCTTTTAAGCTAAGTGCAATAATTTATACAATAAGCTAAATACACACAAAACCAGTATATCCTGAACTACAAAAGTGGTTTCCGTAGTCTCATATGGTTTTAGTCACATACACATTTCCACAATGAACAAGTACTGACAAATACGTTAATAAAACACTACCCCAAATGCTTATCCTGCCATCAGCTTTTTGAGCAATGCCATTCCTGTTACTGAAAGCATTTACTTTTAGAAGCTTTAATCTGACCTGAGAAAATGAGTTCTCTTAAAACTTGACAAGTAGTATATCCTAAGCCCAAAAGGTTTTAAATCAAAAAAGCTTCCAACACGGAAGCATTCACGTGAAACTTAGTTTCTCCAAAAAAAAAAAAAAAAATATCACTTATCTAAAAGAATATTGACACAAATTGTCTTAAGACAAATAAACACTCCTAGAAAAGACTGTATTTTTCTCATTTTCTCTTGTTTCTCCTCTTCTCCATCCTCTCCTTAAAAGAAACACAAACCAGTTCACTATCTTAATAACCTCTCAGATTACTGTAGTCTAAAAACTTTAGAATACATGAAATGACTTAGCTATTATAAAGTCAAAGGTGCCATTTAGATTTCACATATTAAACAGCTACAGTATAGCCTACAAAGGATACAGGTACACCTGATACATAAATACTACTTTATCATTTACAGAGTCAAAAGTCAGAAGGAACTTAAGGGTTTGCAAGGTACTTCAATTTACATGTGGTCATTAAAACCCAGTAAGTACTTCAAGTATGGTAATATAATGGCAGGCAATTGACCGCTCAAATATCACTCTAAAATCGAAGACATGAAAATAAAGGCTGAAACTTGGTGTTTCCCCATCTTTCATTTACATGGCTAGATATCAGGACCTTATTGTGGAAAACATACAGTTATTATATATGGTTTCCCCAAAAGATAACGAAGCTTCAGAAAGTACAAAAGGTGTCAAGACCCATAGTTTGCTTCATCAAATGCTTTTCTAGCTCGTTTCAATTCTTCATTCATTGTAAGCAAGTCTTTAACTCTAGCAAACTTCCTTGGGTCCTTTCGAATCAAGAAGACGATATCTTCAACTTGTACCCGACCTTGTCTTCCAATTGACATTGCCTTGTGAGTCTATTGCAAAGAAACATATTAAATTTAATCAATTTTTTTAAAAATCTAACATTTTACTCTTAATGTGCATTTATTTAATGCTAGTGAGTTTGAAGACTTTCTCTTCTAATTATAGCTATTCATTTGTGAATTGTCTATTCATGTCCTTTGTCTACTTTCTACTGTGTTCTTAACAATATTTCTCTTAATGCTTTACAGACATTTTTTAATATTAATGACATTAAAACTATCAACTTTATTGATGTTTGTTTTTTTGATATATTTGGCTTTTTGTCTTCATTTGTATAAAATAATTTTATAATTTTTTGGTAACCATCCATTTCATTTAAGCTTTGTGTACATCTCAGTAGCCAATAAATATTGGGGGGTTTTGTTAAAACCAAATCTCAGCCCCTATCATTATATATTTATCCTGTACAAAAACAAAAGTTGATCATAGCATTATTTCTAATAACTAAAAAAAGAGAAACTAAATATTTAACAAGGCATTGAATAAACAAATTTGAGCACATCCAGTCAATTAATATTATGAAGCCATTAAAAATATTATAGAGTATTATGCAATGACATGGGGAAAATGTTCTAGACTTTCCCTAAGTCAAAAAAAGGTTCTAAGACTGTAATATACTATATGATTTCAATTTTATAAAGTTTAAAAATATGTGCAAAAAGACAAAAGAATATTCACCAGAATCTTAGCATCAGTTGTCTCTAGGTGGAAGGATTACAGATTTTTATTTCTTCCCTGCACTTTTTAAATGCTTTCTAAATTTAATCAATATTAATTACTTTTATAAGTAGGAAAAGATTTTTAAAAATGCACACTCTGACCCAGTAATTTAACTTCTATTATTCTGTACTAAGAAAATGATCCAAAAACACAGGGTAAAAATTTTTAAGTACTGAACACAACCAAACTCAGTATTCCTATCTTTGTGAATATATCCACAGGCGACAGAGGGGAAATTTCATGAATATGGTCATTCAAAATTATCTATTCAGTTAAAAATAATCTGTAATAACTTATACAATAGAGAAATGGTTAAGTATATTAGAAAACAATCTGAATTTTACATAGCTACTAAAATAACTGTGATTAGGACATGGGAAATATATATTATAAAATTTTGAACAAAAAAGAATGTTTACCATGATCACCACTATGGAAAACATTGTATACCTTTAAATAAATACTGGAAGGGGGAAACATGTTGGATGTTGGGATTATGGGTAATATTTTAAATTTTATTCAAGGATCTTAAATCCTAATAAATAAAATTCAGGGGAGTGGAATATATATTGTGTATATGTGTGTATATATTATCTATCTCTCCATCCTTAATGATAAATAGTAACTTCTATAAAACAGGTTGTTAAATGGATAGCTTATTTCAAAAGGATGCCATAGTTCTAGTCTTATCTAAAAGTTAGAATTTCAAATCAATTCCTCAATTAACTAACATGAATTACAAAACAACTTACCATTTCAGTGATGAACTCTATGACAAGGTCTTCGAGAATATCCACTGACTCAGTATAAGGATTCTGGTCATCCCCAAACCCATACATCATACATCGTACTGTAAAATAACAGTCATTTTGTTTACTTGAACAAATTTAACAATCTGACCAATACTTTTTTCCAATTAGAACTGAACCAAGTTATAGAAGATATTAATATAAAAATACATTTACGTTGTATTTGTTGTCTCAACGAATGGGTTTTGGTGTAAAAGGTTTTAACCAACTGTTCCTACCTAGCTTTCCCTAGGTAGGAACTCCTCTTCCCTCCTGGCTACTGAACCCTGACATCATTATTCTTTCCCTAACCTCTATTATCTACCCACCTACAACCCCAGAATACCTTTGAGTAGGAAACTCCACGGCAGGGACGGGAGGAGTAGCATTGGCTCAGCCTTTACTAGGAGTGTTTTCTCTGTGTGTGGCAGTGGGGCATTGGAAAAGAAACAGCAAAATCCTTTCTGATACGACTACAGGGAAAAGGACATGAGAAAAAGTGCTCCAATCACCTTCTTATAGGAAGGACTGGGTAATCAAAAGGAAAAAGTAAAGGGCTTACTATACAGTATCTTGACATTTCATTCCCTAGATCAATGCAACTGCCAGCCCTTTCAGGGCTGAAGGAACCATAGAAAATGCAAAAGAGGAGAAAAGTTTAATACAAGGTAGTAAAAATAACTGCCAACAGCTAAAACTTACACAGCTCTTACTATATGCCAGGCACTGTTTTAAGCCCTTCACATATTTAACTTATTTAATCCTCGCAACAATCCTTTGAAGTAAATACTATTATTATCCCCATTCTATACAGATGAGGAAGTTGAGGCACGAGTTAAGTGACTTAGCTAAAGTCACACAGATAGTAAGAGATGGAACCTGAATTTGAACACAGCTGATCTGGCTCCAGAGTCTATACTCCTATCCGCAACAGTATTATACTTCTTGGTAGTTTAGGGCAGATGGGATCCATATGGATTCGTATTCTATAATCTATAAACTCCCAGTTAGTCCACTGACAAGCTTCAAGAAGTCCTTGAACCCTCCTGAAATTATATGCAAAAATTGTATACAGTATTTGTGTGTGTGCATTTCTCTGGAAAAAAATCAACTCAGCAGATTCTCAAAGAGATATAAACGTAAAGAAACTGTCATACTTTGGAAATGTCTTATATCTTGACATAAGTGGTGGTTACAAATATATGTATATATGTAAAATTCATCAAGCTGTTCGCTTAAGACTAGTACAATTTATTGTCTGTAAGTTGCACGTTTTAAAAAAATAAAAGAACGAACTCTTAGAAGACTTCTAAAGGCATGAATGAGTACATTAAGGATAATTCCTATTTAGGCAGAAGCAAAAGCTGGTAGAACTGAAAAGAGAAGAAAGTAGACCAGGCCTAGGGAAGAAAAGAAAGGGGTGACTAGGAAGCCAGCCTGGGATAGGGAGGTATCCCTAGGGGCTATACTGGGAAGAGCCTTTAGGTTCAGATACTGGAGGGAGAAAAGAAAGACAGAAGCCAATATCCTCTCTTAGGATTCTGAAAATTTTTTTGCCTTTTTTTTTTGAGATAATTTCAGAATTACAGAAGAGTTGCAAAAATAGTACAGAATTCCCAAATACCCTATATCCAGCTTCCCCTTATGTATATATGTTACATAACCACAGACATTTATTAAAACTAAGAAATTAACACTGGTGCAAGTACCAAACTTATTCAGATGGTACCAGTTTTTCCACTAACGTCCTTTTTCTGTTCCAGGATCCCACACTATTTAGTTGTCATGCCTTCTTCATTTCCTCTGATCTGTGACAGTTTCTCAGACTTTCCTCGTTGTTCATGACCTCAACACTTCCAAAGAATACTGGTCAGTTATCTTGCAGAATGTCCCTCAGTCTGGATTTTTCTGATGTTTTCTCATGATTAGATTGTGCTTGTGCATTCCTAGCAAGGGTACCACAGAGGTGATGCCCTCTTATGCATCATATCAAGGGTACATGATGCCAATATATATTACTGGTGATATTAACTTTGATCATTTGGGTAAAGTACTGTCTGTCAGGATTCTCCACTGTAAGATTACTATTTTTCCTTAAATATTTTGAAGAAGGTACTTTGTCATTAACATTTTGATGGGCAGAGTTCACCAGCAGTGAAATATATTTCACTGGAAAACGGAAACTTATATTAGATAGGAAGTATGTAAACTGTATTTAGTTAAAGGGTCTGTAAAGACAAATACCAGTGAATGCTCCGAAAATCTGTTAGCAAAAATTGTTTTAAAAAGATGGTTTAGGAGAACATATCTTGGTTAATAAGACATATGAAGATTCAGGTAAGACAAGGAGAAGGCTGTGAAGATTCCACATTCTTGTCATTACAAAAATAAAACAATCCAAGTGGAAGAAAGGTTTCTGCTAAGAACTGACTATGCAAGCATCACTCTGGGATGCTCTGGTGTAGGAATCCCCTTCTTATGATGAAATAAAAAGCAAAGCCAACCACATACAAATGGAGGAAATAGCATCAGAGATGGAATAAGGAGTGGTCAGCTTTAGGTGAGGAATTGACATATGGAGAAGAATTTGAGTGGTTTAAAAAAAAAAGACACACTCACTCTGCAGTTTCAAGAGCATTTGGGAACTGCTTACGTCTGAGCCAGCATAAATAAACCAGGTATTCATGTGTTGCCTCATCTGTCAGTACTCAGACATAACTGTATGTAAAGGACCCGGTACTGAGAGATGGAGAGTACATTCTCACAGTGCCCTTCAGGGGTTGGCCTGGGCCATCTGCACTAGCAGCAGCTCTCCCTATTGCTGCTGCCCAAAAAGGGTCAAACCTGTCTACTGAGAGAGTAGAGGAGAGGACTAAAACATTATAATCTCTACGCCACTGTAATGCCTCACACCATTCACCACTTTCCTGCCTTGTCCTAGTCCAAAACCCCAACTTACTTCCTACCCTCACCACCTGTTCCAGGATCCATCACAACTTTTGTCTTCCAATGAAAGCAGCCCCTGCTCCTAATGCTGCAAAGATAAAGGGAAAGGAGAAGTAATGGAAGTATGTTCTTAGTCCCTGATTTGAAACACTGATCATATTTCCTTAAGAAAAAACTATACACACACACATATAAATTGGGGTTAGCATCATTACTATCTATGATTCACAAGTTTAGCAGAATCTTATAGGCAAGTCTGAGAATATTGTCCCCACAGGGAAACACATTCAGAACAGATATATCTACTTTGAACAACTATGTCCAAAAATCTTTATCATCTGTAATAAAATAATTGTCAAATACTACTTACATTCTTTAGAAAAAAGTCTCTTTCTTTTACCCTGTCCACCATCTGCACCTCCTCCAATTTCTTCATTTTCTTCCTCAAACTAGAAGATGTATGTATAGAAATGTCAAGCACTGCATTTGATTTTTTAATAATTAACATTTTTTTCCATTTTTAACACTGATATCAGGCCAGAAAGCCTAAAGCAAACAGCAAAAAATCATGAAACCGTAGCAACTGAGGGGCCTCAAAGACTATCCAGTCTAAGTTCTGACTCATGCAGGAATGGCTTCTGCAATGTCCCTAACAAATAATCCTACTGCCTCTGGTATGCTAATGACCATATTTTTTTTTTTTTAACCAACTAAGTTGGCCTATTGCTACACGGTTTTACTATTAAAAGAGGTGGTTTTAAATCAAAGTTAGCAAAACTAGTATTTACTAATCACTGCTTATACAGTGCTAGGAACTTTCGTCAAGTAAGACTTAACCCCATTTTACGACAGGAAAACCGGGGCTCAAAGTTAAGTAACTTGCTCACAGAGAACAAGGATTTTGAAATCCAGGCTTCCTGATTTTCGGTCTATTATTTTTCCACTACAATAAGTATAGCGTTTTGATAGGAGTTGAACTGTTGGTTCATAAGGAGCGCTAACAAAGACGTATTAGCTGTGTCCTCTAGTGACTCTCTAGGCGTTTCAAAGTGTGTCTGGCAAATATGGACCAAAGGCTAAGGGCAAGGGGCCACCTTCCTACTCTGCCTTCACGTCCTACCCCACGTACTAAAGACATGAATCCGGAGGGAAAGGCTAGCACAGCGTCAAGTCCCCGATTCTGTCGGCTGAATTCATTAGGGAAAACAGACCCGATTCTGAATTCGGCCTCCGCTCCTGTGCCGGGGGGAGTAAAGAAAAAAGTGGGTTGGAACAGAAGTGGTCACTCACGGTGGGGTCTTCTTCCTCATCTGCCATCTCACCAGGCAGGCAACCTACAAGACCCAGCCGCCTCGGTCCGAGCCGCTTTTACTACTTCCGCCGCCCCACTTCCGGTGACGCGCGGGGCCGGGGCGGGGCCTAGCCGCCCCGCCTGCGGGAGAGGAACGTGTGCGTCCCACCTAGCGGTGGAACCAGGCGGTGCTTAGGCCAGGCGTGGTGAGGTATTGGCTCTATAACCCCGAAGAAGGGATTAAAAATTAGCAAAGAGAAGGGAGTCATGGGATAGGAGACGTGTAATTCGTTGTCACCCTAAATTTGTTTCTACGTATGGATCATCGCTTCCTGAGTTGGGACTGCGAAGCTGTGGATCATCGTGGGGCTAGTCAGCGGTCCTTGGCTGCCTGGAGGGCGTACTTAAAACAATTTCAGCAATTTAGAGTTCCACTATTGTTTATTGCGAAGCACAGTATTGGTTATTAGGGATATTGTTCTTTGATACTACTTCTCAGGGAGGTGGAACCACCCTTTAGACAGGATTTAAATTTCTGTGGCTTTTTGGGGGTCAGAACAATGATTGGGAAAACAACGGCCATTATAAGGCTAAGCTAGAGATATAAGATGTTCTGCAATGCAAGAGATAATGCCACACAAGGACAGCACTATTTCTGAATGTCCTGCTAAACATTTATGTGAGTGAAAAAATCTGTTTATAATTAGCTGAGCCTAGAACCTTTGTTAACACATAAACACAAAGCATTTTCCTATGCTTTTAAGGTGCGCTGAGTTTTCTAGGAATGCAACTGTGAGATAATAGAAAATATATATATTGATCTCTGTCCCCAGTTCCTGCCATAGGGCTCCTAAAAGCCTCGTAAATTCCTAAGCGTTGAGAGCACTAGGAGCATCCTTTGGTCTAACGAGGTGACTCTGGGTGGGTGCCTGGATGCGGGCTGGTCACTGGAAAGACCAAGCCATGATTAGAAGCTTGGAATTTTCAGCCCCACCCACCCGTTCTCTACAGAGGGCGGAGAGGCTGGAAATGGACTTAATAATTGACCGTGCCTACATGAAGCATAAAAATCTCAATGGTAGGGCTTTCAGAGAGCGTCCAGGTTAGGGAATATGTCCACATACCTGGAGGGTGACATACACCAACTTCACAGGCACAGAAGCTCTGTGCTCAGGACCCTTCCAGATCTCACCCTGTGTATCTCTTCATCTGGCTGTTCATCAGTATCCTTTATCATATCCTTTAATACACTGGTGTATGTAAGTGTTTCCCTTAGTTCTGTGAGCTGGTTCTAGCAAATAATAGAATCCAAGAGGGAGGAGGTTGTGAGAACCTCCAATTTGCAACCAAGTTGGTCAGAAGTTGTGGGAAACCTACTGCTTGCAATTGGCATCTAGAGTGGCAGGCTGTCTTGTGGGACTGAGCCTTTAACCTGTGGGATCTGACACTATCTTCAGGTAGACAGTGTCAGAACTGAGTTAAACTGTAGGACACCCAGCTGGTATCAGAAAATTGCTTGGTGTAGAAAAAAACTGCACACATTTGTGACCAGAAGTGTCAGAAGTGAAGTATTCTGTATGAAAGTAAAGGATAAAAACACACAAGAAGGAAAGAACTGGGAGTTTTTCCCGGAACAGAAACTACCCTGAAATTGGAAGGATATTATACTTTGTTTTGTTTGGAACTTACCAAGGGCTGTGAAACATTTCAGGAAATAATGTCACCAAAAGCCGCATCACTTGTAATAATTTGGCCAATACTCACTGGAATCAGTCTGCATTTGTAGCTCCTGCTTTCATGGTGATGCTACATATAGGTGCAAGCATCTGAAACCATTACACTCTCTGGTGTACTCATGCCTGAACATTTACATATTGAAACACATATTGTAATTTACTGTCTTTATTTTACCTTTATATTAGTTCAGGCATTATATATTATTTTTTAATTATGTGGGTAGTTAGGTGTATTAGTTTTTTTGCTGTGTAACAAATTATCCCAAAAGTTAGTGGCTTACAACAATGAACATTTATCATACAGTTTCTGTGGGTCAGGAATCTAGGTGCAGTTTAGCTGCGTGCCTCTGGCTCAAGGTTCCTTATGTTACAGTCAGGGTGTTGGCTGAGGCTGCAGTCTCATCTGAAGTATTGATGTGGAAGGATCCTCTTGCAAAGTCACTCACATGGTTTTCACCAAGATTCAGTTCCTTCAGGTTATTAGACTAAGGGCCTCAGTTCTTCACTGGCTGTTGCCAGAGGCCTCCCTCAGTTCCTTGCCACTTGGTCCTCTTCATAGGGTGGCTTACAACATGGCAGCTGGCTTCTCTCAGAGCAGATGAGGGAGAGAACCAGGAAGAACACCCAAAACAGAAGCCACAGTTTTTTTGGTAACCTAACCTTGGAACTGACATCCCGTCACTTCTGTCCTGTTCTGTTCACTAGAAGTCAATAAGCGCAACCCACACTCCTGGAGAGGGGATTACACAAGGATAAGCATACCAGGAGGCAGACATCATTGGGGGTTATCTGAGAGGCTGCCTACCACAGTAGGTTATATTATCTGTGAATTTCATTTTAGAATAATAAAACATACATTATATTTGTTATTTAAGAAGATTGTTGGGGCCAGCGCTGTTGCCAAATGGTTAAAGTTGCACACATTCTGCTTCAACAGCCCAGGGTTTGCGGGTTCAGATCCTGGGTGCGGATCGACTCCACTCATCAGCCATGCTATGAAGGCATCCCATGTACAAAGAAGGGGAGGATTGGCACACATGTTAGCACAGGGCTAGTCTTCCTCAAGCAGGAGAAAAAGAAGAGGATTGGCAGCAGATGTCAGCTCAGGGCAAATCTTCCTCACACACACACAAAAAGATTGTTGAGTCTGATAGAGTTGAGAACTGTGTTAGGTAGGGATGAAATGCTGGTCTTGTCCAGGGGATTAGGTATAAAGCATTCACAATGTCCATTATCAGGGGAGTGGATAGGTAAAATGTGGTGGATGCACACCAGGGAGTACTGTGCAACAATCAGGAGTAATAGATTAGGAACATAGACAAAATTTAAAGACATAGTGCTAAATTTAAAAAGTAAGAAGCACAATGAGACTTACAACACACTACCTTTTATGTAAATTAAATATACATACACAAAAAATACATGTTTTACAGTAACATACAAAAAAGCTTACACATTAAATACATTAGAACAGTTGCGGGGTAGGAGAGATGAGAATAGGGATAAAGGGAATGCATAGATAAATAACAGGTGAAGGACTTTGGAAGGGTCAGTTATGAGAGTATGTCATGAACTGTGGAGTGTGAATAATTCGACCTGCTGAACCTGAGATCCAAAACATAAAGGAGGAAGGGCTGGCCCCGTGGCCGAGTGGTTAAGTTCGCGCGCTCCGCTTCGGCAGCCCAGGGTTTTGCTGGTTCGGATCCTGGGCGCAGACATGGCACTGCTTGTCAGGCCATGCTGACACGGTGTCCCACATGCCATAACTAGAAGGACCCACAACTGAAATATACAACTATGTACTGGGGGGAATTGGGGAGAAAAAGCAAAATATAAAGGAGGAAAAAAACTACAGTGTTGTGAGCAGAACAGAAATAAAGCACAAAGAGTGAAAAGTCATGGTGTGCTTCTACAGGTTGTTTCGGGTGGATTGCCAGAGCCAAGTTTGCTGGGTGGGGATGCAGGAAATGTGGCTGGAATGAATCTAGAGTTAAGAGTGTGAAAGGCCTTGAATGTTCTCTTCAGAGAATGAACTTCAAACTGCAGAGGGAGGTCTTTAAACAGAAGAGTCACATGACCCTCTCTTTTTAAAAAAGATCACTTACAGGGAGACCACCTAGGATGAGAGATGATTAGAACCTGAATTAAGAGGAAGAAGGAACTTTAGGAGGAGAATTTACAAGACTTTGTGACTGAATGAATCTGAGAGCTATGGAGAGAGAGTTTTACATCCAGATGGGTGGAATGCTATAAATATAAATTGGAAAGTAAAAGGGGAAAGCAACCGGGGAGTGAAGAAAATGAGTTCAATCTGAGTTTGAGAGTCTAGAGATGTCTTAAAGACAATTGGAAGTGCAGGCCTAGAAATCCACAGAGAACTTAGGACTAGAGAAATGGTATGGGAGACGTCAACACGAAGGTGATAGTTTAAAGACTGTACAGGAACAAAGGCAAGAGGGGAGGGAGGCAAAGGGCAGATCCTTAGAAATGGTACATGAAGAGACAGGAAAGACAGGAAGAATGGTTCAAAAGGTAGCAAAAGATAAAAAAAAAAAAGGAAAGAAAGAAAGGAAAGAGGAGGAAGAGACAGAGGAGGAGGGAAGAAGAATATATTTTGGAGAAAAAAATTTCAAAAAGGAGCAAGTGACCCGGTGTGCTCAGTGCTACAGAGATGAAGAGATTTAAAGGGGCCGGCCTGGTGGTGCAGTGATTAAGTTCACATGTTCCGCTTCCGCAGCCCGGGGTTCGCCGGTTCGGATCCTGGGTGCGGACATGGCACCGCTTGGCAAGCCATGCTGTGGTAGGCGTCCCACATATAAAGTGGAGGAAGATGGGGCATGGATGTTAGCTCAGGGCCAGTCTTCCTCAGCAAAAAGAGGAGGTTTGGCAGGAGATGTTAGCTCAGGGCTTATCTTCCTCAAAAAAAATAAAAGAGAGATTTAAGAAAAGGCTCTGGATTTGACAGGAGGTGGTAGAATAATCTGGACAAAATAGTTTGAGGGCAATGGTGACGATGGAAGCCGGATTATAAAAGGTTAAGGAATGAGTGTATAGTTGGATACTGAAGGGTAGAAAAACAAAGAGAGGGAAAGTAACCTTAAGAGTGCAGTAGGATCAAGGAAAGTGGGCTTTGAATAAATTATTATTGAATGAATAATAAGGCTGTGAATTTGCATCAGACACTTAGCTAACAGCTGGGAAAAGCCAGGTTTGCATTATAGCAAAAAAGTGGAATGAGCTTTTAAAGAAAACATTAATGACAAAAGAGGTCTGTTCACAGGAGAATAGAGTCAGTGGA